AAAACAAACACCCTGTAAGTTATATACATACTACAGCATAGATTAACATTGAGAATGTTATGCTAAGTGAAATAAGCCAGTCACGGCCAGGCGCCATGGCTCACACCTGTCATCCCAGCACTTTGGGAGGCCGAGGCTGGTAGATCATGAGGTCAAAAGATCGAGACCATCCTGGCCAACATGGTGAAACCCTGTCTCTACTAAAAATACAAAAATTAGCTGGGCGTGGTGGCGCACGCCTGCAGTCCCAGCTACTCAGGAGGCTGAGGCAAGAGTATCGCTGGAACCTAGGAGGCAGAGATTGCAGTGGATGGTACCACTGCACTCCAACCTGGCAACAGAGCAAGATTCCGTCTCAAAAAAAAAAAAAAAAGCCGGTCACAAAAAGCCAAATCAGTATGATTCTACTTATATGAGGTATCTAGAGTAGTCAAATTCATATAAATAAAGTGTAATGGTAGTTGCCAGCAGCTATTGGACAGGAGGAAACAGGGAGTTTCGTTTAACAAGCACAGAATTTCAGTTTTGCAAGAACAATGTATATATACTTAACACTGCTCCACTGTACACTGTTAAGTAGTGCACAAAAGCAAATTTTTAATAGAAAAAATTTAAAAATCAAGCCATATATGTAATTTAAATTTTCTAGGAGCCACATTAAAAAATTAAAGAAACAAGTGAAATTAATTTTACATTTCTTTAAAACAATATATCCAAATATTATCACTGCAAAATGTAACCAACATAAAAATTAGTGAGATGTGTTACATTCCTATTTTTTGCACTGAGTCCTCAAAATCTGGTGTTATCCAGTCCCAGCACTTTGGGATTGGATCCTGCTGAGGCAGGAGGATTGCTTGAACCCAGGAATTCAGGACCAGTCTGGGCAATATAGTGATACCCCATCTCTACAAAAAAATTTTTTTAGTTAGCTGAGGATGATGGCGCACACCTATGGTCCCAGCTACTCAGGAGGCTGAGGTGGTCTAGCCTTCCTATTCGGAAGGCTGAGTCTTGCTTGAGCCCAGGAGGCAGAGGTTCCAGTGAGCTGAGATTGAGCCACTACACCCCAGTCAGGGAAAGAGAGTGAGACCCTGTCTTTAAGAAAAAAAAAAAAAAAATCTGGTGTTTGTATTACACTTTACCACAAATTCAGACTAGCCACATTTTAAAAATATATAATAAGCTGTATTGAGATGTAATTCATACACTATACAATTCACCTACTTAACATGTAAAATTCAATGGTTTTAGTAAATTTATAGTTTTGTAACCATTATCACTATCTAATTAAAGAGCATTTTTATCATCCCCCAAAGAAACCCCAGATCAATCAGCAGTCACTTCCTATTTCTATCTAGCTCCTCCAGCCTTAGGCAGCCATTAATATACTTTCTGTCTCTATAAATCTGCCTACTCTGGACATTTCATATAATTATTATCATACAAAATGTGATCTTTTATTAAATGTAGACTAGCTGCATTTTAAGAACTCAATAGCTTCATTTGGCTAGTGGAGACCATATTAGCATATAGCTGAAAGCCAATAGTGAAGGTAAAATGAAATAATATACTTGATTAATCCAACAGACTACAGAAAAGGAAGAATGAAGAATTGTCTTGACAAATTGTTATTTTCTTTTTCTTCCAGAGCCTTGCTCTGTTGCCCAGGCTGGAGTGCTGTGGCGCAATCTCACCTCACTACAACCTCCACCTCCCAGGCTCAAGCAATCCGCCTGCCTCAGCCTCCCAAGTAGCTGGGACTACAGGAACATGCCACTACACCCAGTTGATTTTTTTTCTTTTTACATCCTAAGCCTCTCAAAGTGCTAGGATTACAGGTGTGAGCCACAGCACCCAGCTTCTTTAAACAAATTTTTTTTTTTTTTGAGACGGAGTCTCACTCTGTTGCCCAGGCTGGAATGCAATGGGGTAATCTCGGCTCATGGCAACCTCCACCTCCCGGGTTCAAGAGATTCCCCTGCCTCAGCACCCCAAGTAGCTGGGACTACAGGTGCAGGCCACCACACCTGGCTAATTTTGTTTTTTGTATTTTAGTAGAGATGAGGTTTAATTCACCATGTTAGCCAGGATGGTCTTGATCTCCTGACCTTGTGATCCACCCACCTCGGCCTCCCAAAGTGCTGGGATTACAGGCATGAGCCACCATGCCTGGCCTAGACAAGATTTTAAAAAGATTCAACTATGTGATATTTAAGAGATACACCTTTTTTTTTTTTTTTTTTTTTTTTTTCTTTTGAGACAAGATCTTGCTCTGTCACCCAGGCTAGAATGCAGTGGCATGATCTTGGCTCACTGCAACCCCTGCCTCCCATGCTCAAGCGATCCTCCCACCTCAATCTTCCAGTAGCTGGGACTACAGGTGTGTACTACCATGCCTGGCTAATTTTTTAAGTTTTTTGTGGAGACGGAGTTTCACCACGTTTCCCAGGTTGGTCTCAAACTCCTGGGCTCAAGCAATCTGCCTGCCTCAGCCTCCCAAAGTGCTGGGATTATAGGCATAAGCCACCGCCTCCAGCTAAGAAACACAATTTAAAAGTAAGAACAGTGCCTGGTGTGGTGGCTCGCCTATAATCCCAGCACTTTAGAAGGCTGAGGCAGGTGGACTGAGGTCAGGAGTTCAAAGCCAGTCTGGCCAACATGGTGAAATCCCATCTCTACTACAAATACAAAAAAAATTAGCGGGCATGGTGGCGTGTATCTCCAACCCCAGCTACTCAGGAGACTGAGGTGGGAGAATTGCTTGAACTCAGAAGTGGAGGCAGTAGTGAGCCAAGCTGGTGCCACTGCTCTCCAGCCTGGGCAACAAGCCAACTGTGCCACTACACTCCAGCTTGAGTAAACAGAGTGAGACCTCATCTAAAAAGATAAAGTAAAGAACGCATACAGTAAAACTGACTTGACCACAATCATAGCTGCAGCCTGGAACTGTTGGCCTCAAACAATCCTCTAACCTCAACCTCCCAAACTGCTATGATTATAAGCATGAGCCACCATGCCCAGCAACTGATTGTTAATTTTAAAATACATTTTTTTAGAAGAATGAAAAACAAGAAAAAAGAAAAAAAAAAAAAAAAAAAACACACACACACACAAAAAACTTTTTATTAAAGTTAAAAATAAAAAGGTGGTTACTTCTGGTGGGGAAGGGGATGCTTACTAGAAAGGGTCCATGAGAACTTTTGGAGATAATGGAAATGCTCTATATTTTGATCTGCATAACAATGACACTGATTTTTTATGTATGTTATATGTACACAATATATTTGTTAGGTTATTCATGTAAGGGTATTTTTAACTGTATTTAAATTTTACCTCAGAAAAGCATTGTTATCAGGCAAAAAAACCTAGTGAACATTGGGGCCTGGTAAAAAATTTTTTAAATTTAAATATTTGAAAAATATTTTTAAAGCAAAAAAAGAGAAATAATTGGAAGTTTCCTGAAACTTAAAAATTTTAACATATTCCTTAGAAACCACATTTAAATTGTAGCTTTTTTTTTTTTTTAAGACAGAGTTTCACTCTTGTTGCCCAGGCTGGAGCGCAATGCATCATCTTGGCTCACTGCAACCTCCACCTCTCAAGTTCGAGTAATTCTCCTGCCTTAGCCTCCGGAGTAGCTGGGATTATAGGCACGCACCACCAAGCCTGGCTAATTTTGTATTTTTAATAGAGATAGGGTTTCTCCATGTTGGTCAGGCTGATCTCGAACTCCCAACCTTGGGTGATCCACCCACCTTGGCCTCCCAAAGTGCTGGGATTACAGGTGTGAGACACCATAACCAGCCAGCTATTTTTTTTTTTTTTTTTTTTGAGGCAGAGTCTTGCTCTGTCACCCGTCTGGAGTGCAGTAGTACAATTACTGCTCACTGCAGCCACAGCCTTGACCTCCTGGGCTCAAGCAATTGTCTCACCTCAGCCTCCTGAGTAGCTAGGACTACAGGCATGTGCCACCACGCCTGGCTAATTTTTTTGTATTTTTATGTAGAGACAGGGTTTTGCCATGTTGCCCAAGCTGGTCTTGAACTCCTTAGCTCAAGCAATCTGCCCTCCTTAGCCTCCTAAAGTACTGGGATTACAGGCATGAGCCACTGTGCCTTGCCTTATTTATTTAAAGACAGAATCTCACTCTGTCACCCAGACTAGAGGGCAATGGTACAATTTCAGCTCACTGTAACTTCCTCCCCCAAGTGATCCTCCTGCCTCAGCCTCCCAAGTAGCTGGGACTACAGGCATGAGACACCACACCTGGCTAAATTATAGCTGTATTTAATAATAAACTACTTTTACACGATTGTGATATGTAATTTATGATTATCAAAATTTAAAACTTACCAGGGAAGGAGTATTGAACTTGATTTCTTCAAAGCAGCCATCAAACATTAAACTAAATGTTGGATCTACACACACACATACACAAAAAAAATTCTTAAACATTAAGACCATTAAATAGCTTTTCCAGTTATACTTTCCTATGAAAATATTTAGCACCCCCTACCCCCACTGCCCAGTGCTGTGGTGCAGTCATACCTAACTGCAGCCTCAAACTCCTGGGCTCAAGTGATCCTCTGCCTCAGCTTCCCAGGCAGCCAGGACTATAAGCTCAAGCTGCCACACCCAGCTAATTTTTAAGTTTGTTATAGAGATGGGGTCTCACTATGATGCCGAGGCTGATCTCAAACTCACAGGTTCAAGTGCCCACCTTAGCCTCCCAAAGTACTCGGATTAAAGGCATGAGCCACCACACCTGACCAACTATGATCTTCTAATAAAACTACTAGCTGGGAACGGTGGCTTACGCCTGTAATCCTAGCACTCTGGGAAGCTGAGGCTGGTGGATCACCTGAGGTCAGGAGTTCAAGACAAGCCTGACCAATATGGTGAAACACTAAAAATACCAAAATTAGCCTGGCGTGGAGGCATGTACCTGTAGTCCCAGCTACTCAGGAGGCTGAGATGGCACCACTGCACTCCAGCCTGGTCGACAGAGCGAGACTCCGTCTCAAAACAAAACAAAACAAAACGTCTCAAAACAAACCAAACAAAAAACACCTAACTTGTGATTAATAAGATTTTTCTCAATATTCTTAGAATACAATCACTAAGTCCAAATGGGCATTAATTTGTAAGTAGAGCCTAGCCTCATGAAGGTTTATAATTGGAAAAATATTAGAATACTATAATATATAGTATTTTTAGTTTTTTAAAAAAGAAATTGAGTTTTTAAAATTAAACATTCTGTGATAATTTTTTAGAAGATAGATCAATTCCGTTAGGCTGATGATAGCTAACTAAATATGCAATAATCCATAAGAAAGTGTTGGCCGGGCGCAGTGGCTCAAGCCTGTAATCCCAGCACTGTGGGAGGCCGAGGCAGGTGGATCACGAGGTCGAGAGATCGAGACCATCCTGTCAACATGGTGAAACCCCGTCTCTACTAAAAATACAAAAAATTAGCTGGGCATGGTGGCGCATGCCTGTAATCCCAGCGACTCAGGAGGCTGGGGCAGGAGAATTGCCTGAACCCGGGAGGCGGAGGTTGCGGTGAGCCGAGATCGCGCCATTGCACTCCAGCCTGGGTAACATGAGTGAAACTCCGTCTCAAAAAAAAAAAAAAAAAAAAAAAAAAAGTAAGTGTTATCAGGGGCTAAAGAATGGCTAAGTTCAGTATTAAGAAAAGCAGAAAGATTGCGATCCATAAAAAATCCTGACCACTAAATAGATTTAGTGATCTAATTATAGCTATGATAAGGAAGCAAGGAGAATAATCTAGTATTTTCCCTACCAAAATACCTTTACTAGATCTCTTATTTGCATTCTAGAGATTGTTCTCTGCCTCCTAAATATCTAACACCCAACACAGTAACCCAAAGTAGTATCCAATTTTAAAAAGTGATTGCTATTTTGTGAGTTAATTATAATTACTCCAGTCTCCAGATTAACTACAGATTTGAGTAACTGTTTAACTGAAGTAAAATCATTGCTACCTACCACTTGTAGTAAGGATTACAGGTCGTTTAGTTGTTGCCATGAATGTTTTGATTGCATTCAGAAACCCAGCATCTTCATCAAAGATTACATCAACCTACAAACAATTTATTGAATATTAATGTAATACGTAACAATACACTTACTGAATATCAGTTATGTATACACAGTAAATATTCTGTCTGTTAGAGACAAAATTTATGAATTTATGAACAGTGTGAATTCAGCCCATGTTGAAAGTTTATAATGTCACACGCTATAATGAATTTTAAAATTATTAACTATCAAATGTTGGCCGGGCGCGGTGGCTCAAGCCTGTAATCCCAGCACTTTGGGAGGCTGAGGCGGGTGGATCACGAGGTCAAGAGATCGAGACCATCCTGGTCAATATGGTGAAACCCCGTCTCTACTAAAAATACAAAAAAAATTGGCTGGGCATGGTGGCGCGTGCCTGTAATCCCAGCTACCCAGGAGGCTGAGGCAGGAGAATTGCCTGAACCCAGGAGACGGAGGTTGCGGTGAGCTGAGATCGCGCCATTGCACTCCAGCCTGGGTAACAAGAGCGAAAACTCCGTCTCAAAAAAAAAAAAAAAAAAACTATCAAATGTTAAAAACACAACCACTTATAACTAGACAGATATGAATCTGAATTTATACAATCATTTAACAATAATTAGCAGCTGTGAATTACATTAATCATCTTCCTGAAAAATTCTTCTAGAGTTGACAGTTTCATTTGCTTTAATTTCAAATAGATACACATATTCCTGACCTTCTTAGCTATTTTACAATTCTTTATAAGAAAACATATAGTATTATTTAAAGTAAGTCTTTATCATGAGCTCTCACAAATGTATGCTTCTATAAGCCTACCTCCTCAAAAAGAATAAGAGATGTTGCATTTTTTCTGTTGGGTTCTTCAGCTCCAACATCTTTGACATTTGAATTAGTTGCATTTGTAGATTTAGTCTGAGTAATCTGTTTCTGTTCAAAAAAATTTTTTATTCCTGCATAAATAAAATATTGGAATTTTAGGTAAAATCAACTTTTGGTAAAAACTGGATATTTTTACAGAAGAAGCTCAAACTAAAATCCGTGATCAAAACTGAAACAGGAAAGGCATGGTGGCTCATGCCTGTAATCCCACCACTTTGGGAGGCCGAGGCGGGCAGATCACCTGAGTTCAGGGCTTCGAGGCCAGCCTGGCCAACATGGCAAAATCTCAACTCTACTACAAGTACAAAAATTAGCTGGGCGTGGTGGCACACGCCTGTAATCTCAGCTACTCCGGAGGCTGAGGTAGGAGAATCACTTGAACCCAGGAGGGCGGAGGTTGCAGTGAGCCAAGATAGCACCACTACACTCAAGCCTGAATGACAAAGTCAGATTCCGACTCAAACAAACAAACAAAAACTGAAATAAGCTGGGTGTGGTGGCTCAGGCCTGTAACCCCAGCACTTTGGGATGCTGAGGTGGGTGAATCACTTGAGGTCAGCAGTTCGAAACCAGTCTGGACAATATGGCAAAACCCCGTCTTTACTAAAAATACAAAAATTAGCTGGTTTGGTGGTACACGCCTCTAATTCCAGCTACTCAGGAGGCTGAGGTGGGAGAATCGCTTGAACCCAGGAGGAGGAGGTTGCAGTGAGCCAAAATCGTCCAGCCTGGGTGATAGAACAACTCTGTCTTTTAGGAAAAAAAAAAAAAAGGTAAAACAAAATATTAAAACTTCTATATGTAGAACCTTCAGCCTTTAGTGTAGCTGAGATTCAATAAATAGCAACAGGAACTTATAAAATGTGTTCACATTTTTATGTATTAGGGTCATTATTAAAAAATATAAAATTTAATTTGTTAATTTAATGTCTTACCTTTATTATTTTCCAGAAGCATTCCTATTTCTTCATTATTTTTACGTTTGGAAGATACCTTAAAATAATTTGCCAAGGTTTTAGGAGGAAGTGCTCGCTTTGGTCCGCTACTTTTTGGTGATGGTGGAGGAACTTTTCTTGGTGATGTAACAACTTTCTTAGGCGAGCTTATTTTTTCTGCCCAAAACAAATTGCATTTAATGATAAATATTCTAAAAATCATACAGGTAACAAGATAATTAGCCACATTCTATATTTCTACTCTTACCAGTTAAAAATCCAAGGCACACAAATTTTCTTTCATTCTTACATTCAAATACTTTGTACATTCAAATATTACTATATTTATTTATTTTACCAGTACAGAAGGTTAAGCCAGTCATTTGGAGAAGACACTCTACTCCAAATAAATATATATTCTTTTTTTTTTTGAGACAGGGTCTCACTTTGTTACCCAGGCGGGAGTGAAGTGGCATAATCTTGGCTCACTGCAGTCTCAACCTCCTAGGCTCAAGCAATCCTCCCGCCTCAGCCCAAGTAGCTGGGACTACAGGGGCATGCCACGATGCCTAGCTAATTTTTTGCATTTTTATTAGAGACGGGGTTTTGCCATGTTGTCCAGGCTGGTCTCAAACTCCTGAGCTCAAGCGATCCGCCCGCCTCAGTCTCCTAAAGTGCTAGATTACAAGTGTGAGCCAGAAATACACATTCTTATAACAAATAATGTTCACAATCCCTCCAATGATTTTTTTCTACACCTGCTTAAAGTTAGAAGAGGGTAGAAGGAAAATAACAGTATCCACTGAGCACATTACAGACCTTTGTTGTACAACTTTAATTTAGACCTGTAATAAATTAATATTGTAAGCAAATAATACCTATTTCTAGAGATACTTTGGAAGATGGATACAAAGTTAAAAAATAAATAGTTCACCTCTACTCTCCAGAATCCCCATGGCATTTTTCCACAGCATATATCCTCTCTTCCCCACTAAGTACCTGGTTTTAGTCCTTACAAGTCCTAATTACTGTATGGCCTCAGAATAGGATCTTCCTCACATACCATCTTATGTTCACATTTCCATACCTGTGTCCTATTCTTTTTGTACCCTCTGCCTCCACAGATCTTATCATAGCTCCTGTATATTAGGTGTTCAATAAGCTTACTGAAAACCTTGAGGTTAAAAAACCTGTCACAGACATCACCATCATTTCATAAATATAGAACATTTCAACATCACAGGTAAGACATACAATATCTTAAAATATAAAAATATTTGGCAGGGCGCAGTGGCTCATGCCTATAATCCCAACACTTTGGGAGGCCAAGGTGGGCAGATCACAAAGTCAAGAGTTCGAGACCAGCCTGGCTAAAATAATGAAACCCCGTCTTTACTAAAAATACAAAAATTAGCCAGGCATGGTGGCAAGCACCTGTAATCCCAACTACTCAGGAGGCTGAGGCAGGAGAATCCCTTGAACCCAGGAGGTAGAGGTTGCAGTGAGCTGAAACCGCACCACTGCATTCCAGCCTGAATGACAGAGCCAGATTCTGTCTCAAAAAAAATAAAAAAGAAAGAAATTTTACAACAAAAGAACCACCTTCTTGCAGAAATAGCTAACTATAGGTCTGGGACATCCTGACATTCCAGAAAGCAAGGAAAATATTAACTATTGCTGGGTTATGTTAAAAGGACAGAAACCAATTAAAACAGTTCCCTGGGCCAGGCGTGGTGGCTCACGCCTGTAATCCAAGCACTTTGGAGGCCACGGAGGGCAGATCACCTGAGGCTGGGAGTTCAAGACCAGCCTGACCAACATGGTGAAACTCTGTCTTTAAAAAAAAAAAAAAACAGTTCCCTGCTAGCCAAAGATGGAAAAATATGAGCACAAAGAGAAAACAAGATAGGATTCTGCTTCTAGCCAAGGTATAGAATTGGCACTAGATTTATCCTCCCATTGAAAATAGGAACAACAAAAAAACTGGACATAGTATATGAACTAACACTTTTCAAGCCTTTTTCATCATGCAACACTAGGACTGCCCAGCCTACTGGCCTGAGAAAATTGCCATAGTAAGGGGAAAGCCAATCCATGTTTTCTGTAATTGAGACTGCACTAGAAACCTAAGGAGGTTGGCCGGGTATGGTGGCTCACGCCTGTAATCCCAGCACTTTGGGAGGCTGAGGTGGGCAGATCTGAGGCCAGGAGTCTGAGACCAGCCTGGCCAACATAGTGAAACTCCACCCCATCTCTACTCAAAATAGAAAAACATTAGTTGGGCATGGTGCCGGGCACCTGTAATCAGCAGCTACTTGGGAGGATGAGCCAGGAGAATCACTTGAACCTGGAAGGCAGAGGTTGCAGTGAGCCAAAATCACACTACTGCACTCCAGCCCAGGTGACAGTGTGAGGCTGTCTCAAAAAAAAAAGAAAGAAAAAGAAACCTGAGGAGTCCAAGTAGACAGAGATGCTGGGAAGAATACAGAAGAAACAGCTGGGCAAAGCTCTTGAAATTTGCAGAGTCCCCCTCAAGTCTAAAAGTGAGTACTCATCATTGAAAGATCAGAGGAAACCATCTCTGAGGCTCACAGAGAGCTGGGAATGATTCATCTTCCCATCAGGTAGACTGACAAACGTAACTAATGGAGTACTGAAGCACTCAGAAAGGTTTTGCCTAAGTAGTAGGGCAAAACTAGCCCTAGACTAAGTGTTGCTACTGTTTTGCCTACTGCAGTTTAAAAGACCTGAAAAGGCTGGGTGTGGTGTCAGCTCACACTTGTAATTTTAGCACTATGGGAGGCCAAGGCAGGAGGACTGCTGGAGGCCATGAGTTTGAGACTAGCCTGACAACACAGCAAGACCTTTTCTCTACAAAGAAAAATTTTTTTAATTAGCTGAGTACAGGGGTCTGTAGTCCTAGCTACTCAAAAAGCTAAGGTGGGGTGTTCCCTTAAGCCCAATTCAAGGTGGCAGAGAGCCATAATCATGCCACTGCACTCCAGCCTTGGCAACAGATCGAGACTGTCTCAAAAACAAAGACACACAAGACCTGAAAATAATAAATTTCCAACTATCTTAACCACATCACCAAAGAAAGTTAAGAAATAGTTATAGGTACAGAAAGAGCAGAATTGATGATTTAAAAAAAAAAAAAAAAAAAAAAAAAAAGTCATAGGAATACATAAATATCCAGCACACAAGAAGGTAAACTGTATAAAGTCTGACGTGCAATCAAAATTATCCAAAGAAGGCATCCAAAGAAGCAGAAAAATACAATTCATAATGAGACAGGGAATAATCAATCAATTGAAAAGCCAACTCAGAAATGACACAGATGGGCCAGGCGCAGTGGTTCACACCAGTAATCCCAACACTTTGGGAGGCCAAGGTGGGTGGATCACCTGTGTTCAGGAGTTTGA